TTGATTTTGTTTGCAGAAGGCAAAGTGATACATGGTTTGAAGCTCCTGACTCATTGGGTCTGCGTGTTTGTAGACAGGCTCTAGAAGATAGAACTGGGGCCCTCATAAGCTGCTTCTTGCAGTGAAAGTGCTTCTTGCTTTGGAAACCCATTGCCTTGATTCGGTTTGATCACAGCAGAGGAGAGGAAACAGGTTGTCAGCCAATAGCTGTTGAAGAGGCACAGACGGTATTGCTTCCCTCACCTAAGCAGATCACAGATTTTCTTCTCATAGAGCTATTTTACATAAATGAAACTAACACTGTTTTGCATGTAGAACTCCTAAAAATTTTTTGTTTTTTGTTTTCTGTTGTTGTTGTCTAGTGCTACTGTACTAATTACAATATTAAAAGTTTATTGCGAAATTACTGTTCTAATACAAATGTTTAAGTGAATCAACTGCAGTGCGTGTTTCTTTCATGTTTATAGTTATAAGGCATGGGGACTTTAAAGTGCTGAGAGTTTGATGGAACTGGAAAATCTTCAGAACACTTCAGCTGCATTGAGAAGACAGTAAACTGAGAGCATAGTGCTGACTATCAGTAAAAGTGCAAAACCATCTGTACTTTCTCATTGGCGCATCACATCAGGCTTGCTGAATTCTGCTCTGCCTCTCATTCTTTGTTTCATTCTTTTGCTTCTACATGCATCTAAGAATATATTGTTCAATTACCTGCCATCCTATGTAACTACATTAGGTCAGTTTTGAATGCTAAATTTCATCTTTAGATCAGCACTTGTAACAGCTGCGCAAGGATTTGAGCTCATCTCTTAGTTCTCAGAAGTTGTGATTGAATCCCCACTGTTTTAGATGCAGTCTTCACGGTTGAAAGATTCCTGTTTGTTGTCTCTTGTTGCTTCCTGCTTTCTCCTATAGAATCTGTTGACTGTGGATTAGTATAAGAGCTACGTAAGCAATGCTTAGCAAAGAACAGATGTTTGAATGAGGAGAAAAGATTTATTTATTTTTAAAGTTCCACGTAACTGAGAGAGCATTAAGATCTGAATTTCACCTTGCCACATGACGCTTCTTAATTTTTCTTTTCCAGTGAATGTTAAATATTTCTGAGTGATGTTAATATAATAGATAATATTGTTCAGCTCTTGGGAAACCAGATAACCCATGCTGCAGCAAACAGTAATATAAAATTGAAAAAGAGAAGCAAAGCAGTCACAGAGAGAATATGGAATGGAAGGGAAGCGTAGGGAATGCTAAAGACTTAATCATTCGAAACACCAAGTTAGCATTTTCCTGTTTGTAGAGAAAAATGTTGGTGATTTATTGAAATGGTTTGGGAGGGTGCAAAGGAACAGAATTTTCTATAGTCATGTGGAACAGAAGTGCCGTGTGCAATTCCTTCCAGCAACATGGCTACTAAAATATCACGGTAGGAAAGCAGTGTGATGCAGTAGGCCAGCAATATTTTCAAGTTCTTAGTGCATTCCAGCTGTTTTGGCTACTTGTGTAAATACTTAGTGGGTAAATAGCCTACAGCCCAGACAAACCACCGCAGATGCAGAGATGCCCTGGCTGGCTGCGTGCAGGGCAACCTTGGTTCCAGCACACCTTGTTAGCTCTGGCAGCATGCAGTGTGAATGCAGCTGTGCTCCTTCCAAAGCCAGGTTGAGCTTAGAAACAGCTGGGTGCTATTTCAGTGTCTAGGCCAGCGAGTGTGCCAGGCTCAAGCTGCCTGGATGCAGGCCTCTCTGGTGCCAGTCCACACGCAAGGGGTTGCAAAACATAGTGTTGAGGTCTCCTGTGGCTTTTCAGGGCCAGTGAGGAACTTTAGGGGTTCAGCAGGGCTGATAGGGCCCCGGTTCCATACAGAGATGGGTGTTCTAGCACTGTGATCCCTTGTCTTCTAAGTAGGCTCCTTGTGGATCAGGCCAGCTTAGGTTTAAAGCTGAAGCTGAGGTAGCATCTGTCTGTCTCAAAACACTAGGTAGCACTTCTAGAATGAGCAGAGTGTGAATGCACTCAGAAGACCTGAGATCCGTAGCACCTATGCTTGCTGCTGGTTTTTTCCATATTATTCAGAGTGTCCCTATCTTTTCTTAGATGTCTTTCAACGAGATAACGAATGCTGCACTGCTCTTTATCATTAAAGGTAATGGAAACTTTCTGAATGAAATGTTTTCCAGTGGGGTGATGGATGCTATTTTTTTTCCAGGTCAGCATATTATTTACTGAAACACTTTTTAGTCTTAGAATTCTCACATTAACTTCCCTCTGGCAAATTAAGTTCAGTTTTATATTTGAAAGTACATGAAAACATAGGTTAATTTTGACTGCAGTTTTCAGGGAAGGTACATTTGCAGTTGCACTCAGATGCAAACACAAGAATTCCTGTAGTACTACATCCAGCTACATCCAGCACAAGTAAATATTCCTATGTTTTCCTTTTTGTTTTTTTATTTTAATGTCTGTGTTAATAAATACTGTTCTCATCTCAGTAAAGCTAAACTGTGATGCTGAAACATGAAATGAAATTAGTATACAGTAGTGTAAATATCTCACAAGTGTATCTAACTTGTAACAAGTTCTGTGTAAGTGGAGATCGTGGGGTCCAATCTGAGTGCAGTTTTGTGGTCTCAATTAACAGCTAAAAGAATTGCAGAATTGTAGCAGACATTCTGGTTTTCCAACCAGTGAGAGAAGTGAAACTCAGCTGAAACATAACTGATTTCTTTATGAAAATTCCTTGAACAACATCTGAAATGAATGGTATCAAGGAACTCTTTGTGATGGATGTTATAGGTGATAAACCGCAAACTCGGTCAAAAGTCACTTGATTCTTTCTGAGCAACCTCAGTTCTTTTCACTCAAGGCCAGCACTCGCTGAGCTGTCCCTACAACCTGAGTTCTCATTCAAATCAAAAGCTGATTCTGCATTGGAAATAAAAGGGACCCAGGGACTGAGCTTGAGCACTGTGCTGCTTTTGGTTCCTGCTGTTTAACTGCTGCAGTCTCCCTGGCAAGCTTATGTCTATATCACATAGAGGTCTCCAGGACCCTTCTCTCTGTGTGATTTGAGTGGTAGTGCATGCCAGGAGTATAGCAGTCAGTATAGGTAAGACTCCACCCTCTATGGGCATATGGAACTATCTCATCAGGACTTGTAGCTTCAAACTTCTCATGTGCCTTCATGTCGCACAGTGGGTACAGAAGCACATGCCTTCATTTTCATACCATAGACACAGTTCTCAGGCACTCAAAACTACAAAAATTCTGCACAAAGGGCATAGGGGTGTGATGTAGGACTTGGAATGCAGCTGGAAAGACCTCCGAGTCAAATATAAGGTCAGATATTTAGGAAAAAAGAATGTGAGCTGTGCTTGCAAAATGAGAATTCAATGTCACCTTATCTCTTCTTTCTTTAAGGTTGCTGGTTTCTAGGAGAGTAAGGTGAGCATGTACAGTATTTAAGGTCAGTGCCTTAGACCTGTTCCCCTTGTTGATAGCTACACTTTGTTCCACATCATGTGCATATCATTTTACCTAGATAGGCTGTTCTTTGCTTCCTGTTAAACCAAGCGTGCTGCTCAATAACTGAGTCATGGGTGTGTAATCAAGCCAAATCCTGTGTTCGTGTTCCTATCTCTTGCACATGTTGACTTAAGGAGGAACTGTATTTAAACAGTAAAGTCGAGACAGCTATTAGAAAACTGAAATTAACATTGCCTATGCTCTGTGACTCTAAAACCTAAAGCAAAGCCATGCCTGTTGCTGTCCATTCTGCATGTTGTTTGACATGACAGTGCTGTAAAACAAATAGTAATCCAAAGCAGTTCTTTCCTCCTCTCTGTTTTTTGGTCATTGGCCTTACTATTTAACTCTGCTTGGAAGGCAGGATTATGAATTTTCTCACCATCTCTCCTGCAGCGGTTATGAGCACTTCATGAAAATTCAATTTCAGGAAAATAACCTACTCTGATATAATCTTCCAGCGTCTTATGGAACTTCGCCAGGAAGTTTCACAGGTACAGAGAGCAGAGAGGCTAGAATCCAAAATCTAAGATTTGGCTCTGTTTGGCTGCAAATGGGAGTACATGTGCTTCACAGTTGCAGGAAGTTCTCAGGTTTACGTAGCCATGTCCGAATCCCTGCAATCTGTGCCAGTCCCATTTCATTTCAGTGATTGCCATACTGTCTTCAGGCAGTACCTTGTTAGCTATATTGCCAATCATGATTCCCCATTGTAGTCCCTGTTCATTCTCCCTCAGATTAGTACCAGAGAGTCCTCCCTGGAAGCAACAGAGGAGATGCCAGGTGTTGTTTTCTGTTGTGTTTTTGTTGTTGTTTTTTTTTTTCTCTTTTTTTATAAGAAGTGTCTGGCTTGATTTGTAAATTTCACCTAGAAGGAGTGTGCTGCATTACTGATGATGGGCATGCCATCTGGACAGCTCACTAAGTATCCAAACTGGAAATACTAACTTTTAAAATTTTAAATCCAAACACATGCAAATCATGTTTCATTCACAGGAATTATGGTGCCCTTCTGAGAAAAACTGTCTGGTGGTTAGATTTCACATCCATGGCTCAAGACATGACAAAGGTAGTTTTTCTCAGAAGTAGCTCAGTAGGGCATTGATGAAACAAGTAGCTGAACCATATTGTGACTAAAATTCGAGGGGAAAAAAAACTTCACTGAGGATTATTCCTAACATGTAAACTTTGGACTTGCTGAGTCAAAAATTGCTGAATTTATGCCAGGTAAACTTGTTTGTCTGGAAGGGTTGCTAAAATATAAAAATCAGGAACACCACTTAAATGTGTGTGCCATAGATACAGGTAAGAACTGTGTGTTACACAAGGAAAACATTTGCTCTGCAAATCTTCTGTCCTAACATGATATGCAAGATGCTACAATATGGTGTGAAAAAGCAATGTTTCTGTTGTCTAACATGAGAACAATATTTTAAAGATATTTGTATTAACTGATAATTTCTTATTTTATTTAGTGTCTGAAGAAAATAAGAAAGATGGATGGTCACAAGTAGTAAGTGCTTTCATCAGTTTTTATTATTCTAAAGAGGTAATGGTGTTTGGTGTGCTGATCTGTCACTGCCTGGGTCTGTCATGCATTATGTTCTGGCATCTAGTATTTATATGGTCACTAGTAGATATTTTATTTAAAAAGAATAAAAATATAAAGTGAAAAACTGCCAACTTTCTGAAGAATGAATTGACTACATAGCTAAAAATTGCACGTGTTAGAAATTTCCTACCTAGTGGAAGGAAGTATATAAGCCATCTTATTTCAAGAGATAGATCTGTTATTATCATCAACAACCAAATAAAACTAGATCATTCTTTTAATTATATTTTCTCATTGTTTAGTGAATCCTAAATATATCTGTGATTATTTGACATGAAATCCATTTTAAAAGATATTGACAAAAGCCTACCAGTAAAAATTATCCACCAAATATTTCATTAGATAGTGAAAGCTTTACATAATCACTCTGGAAGTAATGCCTCCTGTTTATTTCCATGGAAATAACAGATACAAAGAACATAGTAACTCTATTTGATAGAGCAAATTCTCAGCTATAAAACACTATATTTCAATACAGTCACCACCAATAGCTGTGCATTTTCGCTAGCAATGAACAAGCACCTGCATGCCATGCTCTTAAAAATCTGCCCCAGCAGAGGTTTCACTGCTACTCTGACGGTGTTACTGATAGGAAAATGTTGCTCATGCAGTCCAGTTTTCATGGTATTACCAGGCACTATTTGGTCTCCGTGAACATTCAGCATAGACTCAATGAATGTTATTGGTGGCCACTTTTTCCACATGGAGGAATACTGTTCCACACCTTTGCTTCATACGCGCTTCCATTTCAGATGCTGTTTTGTCAGACTGCCCTCTGCTGCCATCTGTCTCACGGCAACAACATGTAACAGGGTATTGCTGAGGAGGTACAACCTCTACTGCCATACCACCAGCAGCCACCTCTGAAGACATGGGCCGGCATATTGAAATTGGAGACATTGATTTATGAGCAACCCTTGTATAATCACATTAAGAATAAGCAGGAGCCAGATATTCCTCCAAATGATATTAGTAGTTGAATTTGTCTGTGGTAGATGATTGTGTTCTTCATGTCCCTCCAATTCTTTATCTGTTTAATTCAGGAATCTCTATTAATCCCAGAACTTTTTTTTTTGTGACCTTGCATTAATAGCTCATTTTTATTCTTCCCAGCAAGTAATCACAATTTCTAGTGATCTCAAACAAGGTAGCTATTAAGGGAGGTTGACATCAAATGAATTATGGTGTTTTCTTCAGTTGACCACTGAACTGAGATAGCAGTTATTTGCACAGCTGTAGCACAGGTTAAAGCACAACTGGCACATAGCTAGGGCCTTAGTACTGCCACATAATTGGTTCAATTTTACTTCTTTATTTATTTACTTCTTTAAGGTAATATAACACTGTTCTTATTAATTAAATTATTGTATTCGGCTTTCTCATAATGCAGGGGGATTTGGCAAGGATCTAAATGTCCTTGTCATTTATTAGATATTGTAAATTTTGTCTTTTAGAGTTGCTACATCTGTCAGGTCAGTATAGGTTTAACCTAATTTGGTAGGCTGAAGTTGCGAGAGTATGTGTAATGATTTGATTGTGCAGAACTACGTATGAAATGTCATGTTTGGCATGTATTGTTTATTTTGTCCTGTGGCACCAAAAGTCTTTTATTCTAAGCTTAGTGAAATTCAGAAATGAAACTCTTTCGGCTGATGCTTGGGCAGAATTAAATGAGTGAACACCTTTCTCTTTTTTGTGAGAATTTGAGGACGAAGCCAAGAAGTGCAGTATATGTATGCATTTTGAGTTTTGTCTTTGCTCATTTCCAGTTAAATTTCTTATCATCCATTTGGTGATTGACTGCCTCTTAATTCACTGATTAGAAATAATTGAACCAAATAGCATATCCCTGTCAAACAAAGTTCCTTTTCAGGTCAAACTATGTCATTAATGAACTGTGTAGAGTAGCACTGCCACCCTTTTTAGGCATATATATGTGTACCAAAGACTTTAATTTTCCTGGTGTGTTTAATAGATTACATTTTTCAAACTGATTATTTCTCATAAGCTGCAGTGATTTTGCAGATCTGAATTTGTACAATAAGGGAAAGGACACGTACTTCTGCAGAAAATAATAGTGGAATAACTGTTACTGAAAGAGATCAAGATTTCACTGTATTTTCTATGCTTTGTATGGTTTAAACATATTGTAGAATATGCAGTTTGTGTTTATGTTATACTTTTTTATTGGTTTTGCTAGAGGAATGCGATGCAGAATCATCTGCCAGTAAAAATTCCCCCCATTCCCCTCCCCCCTCCCCACCCTGTAGGGGGGAAAAAGAAATTATCAGCACCTACATTTGTCACTTATTCTTTGCACAGTGAAAGAAGTGAGCTACCTGTTTTGCACATAGTCTACTCAAAAGAGACAAATATTCTTTTTTTTGTTTATGCAGTTTTTAAAAATGACAATGAAGAGTGTAACTTCATTCTTTACGTGATATTCTTTAAATGATCTTTGTGAAATCCTGATGCAGCTTAAATTGCATGAAAATTGCAGTTCTACTAGTGCTCTTTTAAACTTTCCTGTTAGTTGTACAAAAACAAATTTTAATTCAAGGGACTATAAATTATTCTATAATGCATTGGGAAGATTTTCTAGCAGTTGATTATTTGGCAATATTACATGCCCAAGGCATTCAGATTAAATGCAGTGTATTATTTTCCAAAGGAGGATAGGAAATATTGGTGGAACTTGTACTGCTTTAATAACTGTTACTAATGCATAATGAGGAGATGCATATTCAAATACACATGCATAGATATACATGACATATTCTATATGGAAATTTATTAATATTTGTTAGATTTACTTTTTAAGCATCATATTGAAGTTCTCTTATTTTGTTTCTTAATATTTTAGCAATTACCCAAGGGAATTTTATGATCAATATGCTCAAAGCCAAGAAAAATCTGTAGTTAATAAAATGCAACAGAAATACTGGAAAACAAAGCAAACCCTTATAAAAGTCACAGGAAAAAAAGAAGATGAACATGTTGTGGCTTCAGATGCAGATCTGGATGCAAAACTAGAGGTTTGTAATGTCTGCATAATAACTATTCTCTCATAATTTCTAAGATGTTTTAATTTCCATCAAGACTAAGACATGTACCTGTACATACTATAGAATAATGTATATACATTTTTATCATTATTTTTGTATAGTATCCTTTCCAGTTTTGGACAAAAGTACTTAGGGAGACACAAGGAATATAGTGTAAGGCAAAGATTTATTTGAAACTTGTCATCTCTCATACTTATTTTCAGGTTTTGGTGACAGGCTTTTTCTTTTTTGTTGTCAAGAGGAACGGGAGATCATCCTTTGTTTATTATCAGGAATTGGTGCATAGTGCAGTCTGCTCTCTGAGGCCTTTGTACAGATTACTGTTTGTGAGCATCAGAAAAGGCAGTTTCTGAGTCTTTAAAGAGTAACTGGGAGATGGAATCCTACTGTGTAACAAATACAGTCCTACTGTCAGCCACGCTGGAAAAGAGCTAAGGTTCTACAAACTGAAGAGCTTAAACATCCTTGGCTAAATCAAAAAAAGATAGATAATGGACTTTTAAAGTGTAATAACCAAGTTAATGTCCAGCTAAATTTCATAGGTATTGGTTTGTAGTGTAATGATCAATGTTTTATGTCACTGTTTTTCTTAGAAAATCATTGAGTTAGGATTTTTGTTTTTTTTGTGTTTATGCTGAAGTGCAAGAAACTTTTACAACACCCAAATATTTGTAGACTAACTGTGGTAGTGATAACTTATATATCTTAGAGGATTCTAGGCATGTACGTGGCTTTCATGATAGGTTTGAAGTGGGAAGTATTGTTGTGAAACAAGCTAGAGGGACTGAAACAGTATTTTATAAATATATACACCTCAGTTCTTATTGTGGTTATTGTGTTGCAGATTCATCAGACAGGATGCTTTGTTACCTCATGTGGGATTATAAATTGGTTAATTTGCTTACAAGATTAAAAAAAAAAAAAGTAAAAATGTTTTAACTTAAGCAGCTTTTCAACTGTGAGTCACGCTCTCCGTTTAAAAGACAAGGTCCTGGTGTACATAAGGAGGTTAAGCAGGTGCCAAAGAATGACAGTGCACCAGCAGTCCATTTTACTATTATTTGCACGGTACATGATATAACAAAGTTGAAGTTTAAATTGCAGGTTTTAGATGAACAGAAGGGAGTGGTAATTTCTGTTTTCCTGTTAATTCTCAGAACTTAATCAAGACTAATGTTTTTCTATACTTTCTTGGGAAACTGCTGCTTTATCATTTTGCTTAGAAAACCAGAGCTGTGCCAGTAAGCTTACTTTAAAATCAAAAATTTTACTCTTGGCATAACCATATGAATTTGTTCCACTTTACTTTGTGGTATTAAAAATTTAATATACTTATTGCCCCTTAACGCGTTTCAGTGAAACCACAGATAGGCATTTTGATAAACTTGTATTTTATTGGAGGGTGTTCAAAAACAAAGATTAGTACGTCTTCATTTGTATCAAAAGGTATTAACTAAAAACAAATCATTAGTACTTTGGTTGAATATCAGCTGTTTGGTCTGTTTCCAAAATATTGTTTTTATTTTCCTTTTTTATGTTTTGATTGATGTCTCTATAGTTTCAATGGATAATGTGATTGAAAGAAATACATGATTAATAAGGCAAATACACTTTCAAACTGGAAAGATTACTCAATATTTAAGAAGAAAAAACAAATTCCTAGTAATTTCAACAAAATTTAAGATAAGCTCTTTTTTTGTGTTTTAATCTTCAGTGTTTCTTGCATATACTTAAAAATCTTTTTGTTTACTCTGTTTCAATTCCAGCTGTTCCATTCAATTCAGAGAACATGTATGGAGCTGTTGAAAGCAATAGAACTTTATCAAAAAAGGATTTGTTGTAAGTATGATCAAATACTGTAGTTAAAATGATAAGGAGATCTGCAATATAGAATCATCTGACAAGTGAAAAAGTGAAAATGGAAACAGGGAACTACTGCTTTAATCCTAGTTAAAGATAACATTCCTTGTGGTCACCTAAATGTACACTTGCTTAATTGCTTATAGATTTCTAAGTTCATGTTAAGTTTTATATTTGATGTTATACAGTGATTCAAAGCAACAATTATGTGGGATAGCTTGATTTTTGAGTTTTTTTCCGTTACATTACATGGCCCATCTAAATTCAGAACTGTTTTGTGTTAGAAATTCTAACTCTGTTCTGAATTCTTCTGTTTTTATCAAAATTGACTATGAAGAACTTGGTCTCATTACTAGTTTTGTAATTAACTGATCCATGCTATTATGATGAGTTTGATGATGCTGACTTGGCTGCAACAGGTGGACATTAATTAGTAGCACTCATTAGTGAGAGACAGGAACCTCATTTGGGAAGTTTCAAACAGCAGGTTGTATTAAAAGACCTAAGAAGTTCTCTCCCATTGACATTTTTTAATTTCTGCTGCTATGGTTTCTGGCCTAGAAAAGTGAATCAACTTTGGAAACACCTTTAAATTTACTTTTTTGTTGTTCAATTTTATACATATTTTCTCCACTCTTTCCTTTTTCTTTTGCCTGTCCAAAGAAGAGGTTGAGAGATGACAAGATGTTTCAGGATATTGAGGTAAAATTGTAATGCAGACTAGTAGTGTATTGGAGTTCAAGATGTATTTCACAATAGCAGGTGAAATTTCCTTGACAAAGATGTGCATGCAGCACACTCTGTCATAGTATGCTATGAGTCTGCAATATGATTGTCAGTATTTACCAGAAGAGAACTTCAAAACATCTTTCAGTATACTGGAGCATTCTCCTCATTGAGCCTGGGAAGAAATAGGTGCTATTGAAGACAGCCACGTTGAAAGACTGTTAGATGAGGCCACCATTAAATGTTTTTGTAAGGACGTGAGATCATAGAAACTTAAGATTTCAAACTGGGAGTAGGCAACATGTCAATATATAAACATATACTTTTGTTTATCCTCTTATTTAAAAAAACAAATTCAAGAGTATTATTTAAAATGTAAAAAATCCTACAGTTCTAAAAATGATTCTGCAAAGTAATCTGAAAATAAATGATGTTTAACATGAGTTACTAGATTTTTCATATTCAAAAAAAGTCAGTAGTCAAGCTTCAAAAACAAAGACCAGATTAGATACTACAGTCGTGCCACTCTGGGGTCCTTTGTGTGATCCAACCATGATTTTTTTATTTTATTTTTTTGTTGTTGCTGTTCAAGAAGAAAGTAGCATGTTTTTTCTTTTGACTTTTGGCACTGACAAAATTGTGATTCTTGTTAAATACAGGAAACTCATCAAATATTCTGATTTATAAATTCAGGAATTCCATGAAATTAATTTTTCTGTGCTGCTTGGATTTGGAGTGACTTAACTTATTTGATGTTAGGCCAGTTTAAAAGTTTTAGTAATGTTTTAAATTAAATGTTTGATCACTTGTTTATTTTTCATTAGTTCTGTCTCAGGAAGAAAATGAATTGGGGAAATTTCTTCGATCACAGGGTTCTCAGGATAAAACGAGAGCAGGAAAAATGATGCAAGCAACTGGAAAGGCCCTCTGCTTTTCTTCTCAGCAAAGGTCTGTATGTCAGAATTACCATCTGATCACATGGGATAATGGTAGTTGATTCATCATTGCTATAATTGATTTTACCACTATAGATATGCAAGGAACAAAGTGATAAGAAATTTGTTATTGACCAAAACTGTTGAAGTACGGATAATATTTCTGGCTTGCTCTGAGTACTTTTGCTAGATCTGTTTTCTATCCCATGGGCCTGTCGTGTCTCTGGATCTCCAGATTCCTCCACTTATGCCTGTTCAGCTCAGCAGTCCTGGAGCTGTACGGCTGCTATCTGCATGGCCTCTCTAGCAGTGGGGCAGTAAAGGAGCTGGTTCAGGTCTCTTTCCTGCTTAGTTGCAATTCTCATTGTGTGGAAAAATACTGTAACATTCCTATTGTGGGGAGGTGTCTTGGTCCTGAGAGGGGTAGGAGGTGGCTTTTTCTGGACCATAGAGTCTCACACCTCAAGGAAACAAAGCCATTTCCTGCTTTAACCTTACAGAAAGAATCTCAAGAAAATGTCCTGTTGACCTTAAGTAGGTTGGGTAGGAGCAAATTAGTAAAATGTGAAGAATACAGACGGATGCAGAAACACATAAACTTTTGCTTTTCTGTGGAGTTCTTGATGTCTCACTGACTGTGCTTTTTGAAAGGGTTTACAAGCAACAGTACTTGATGTTGTTAGGTTTCATTATGTGTGTAGGATTTTGTTTTGTTTTTTCCATATTAGAACTATGAAAGCTTTAAATTTTCCATCAGTCAGAAGGGAAAGTTCAGTTTCATAACAAAGTAAAAATCAAATTCTTTACTCCTAAAGGATTTGGGGAGACTTTTAATTATCATGGCGTTTTCCAGCTTTAGCTGAGCAGTGCAGCTGTTTGGCTCAAAATAAAAGTTCACCTACCAAGTACTGAGAATTTCATGTTTATCTTGGGCTACAGTTTGGTCATTAGCACATCCAGGAACAGCTGTGAGTAAGCTCTTCAGAACATATGTAAGGCACCTTTGAGCAAAAACCTTAATTATTTGCGTTTTTAAGTAGCTCCACATTTTTCACAAATCACACTGTACAATCTGTCCATGTAAAGTGAATTTTTCATTTGAATGACTGGTTAGGTTTTTGTAGAATTGAAGAAATGTATATTATACCCAAAAAAGACCTAGTAAGAAGTTCACATTTTATTATATCTATTATTTGATGTACATTTAAGATGTGTTTCAAAATTATTTCCCATAAAAATAAAAACAGATGTTTGTCTTTCTTTTCTTCTTGAGCCATCTTCAATCTCATCTTGGAGTGACAATTGTTCTTACTTATGTTGAATGCCAGTAGCAATCTGGAGATCAAGTAAATGAAATTTGCTGGCTACTGGAGCTGAAATTAGAGATTCTCTTAGGCAAAGGAAGTCCCTAAGTGACAAATTAAACTAGCTCTACACTGGTGTGGAACTGATTGAACCCATTCCAGTGAGGTGGCTGCTGGCAAGTAACAGGATAGCAGAAGCAGCAGATGGAAACATGGCAAAATTTGGAGTAGTTCTGTCCCATTAGGAGCTGAAGTGATGGCATAGGGAAGACAACAGTGTCCCCTGCTGCCTCTCCGAAGCGTAGTATCTGGAACAAACATTTAAGAAAATCCCTAAAATCTTCCCGAAGATAAATATCCTTCAAAAGAATTGTTTGGATTCCTCAAAATAAAGAAAAATAAATCAGTTAATTAGGCACCTGACAGGTGACTTCTTTGTTTACATGTGAAGATAAAAGGCTAATAGAAATGCTTTTTCTGGGGCTTAACATGACTATCCTGATGCATCTGTGGTATGTATCCAGTAATATAAATGACCTCAGGTATATTCTTGCACTTGTTAAATGCAACTTGCAACCAGGAAAGTTAAAAAAGTAAATAAAAGCATTTTAACTAAATAAAATATACACATTAGCAAAAGTTTCTTTTCCACTAGCGTAAGTGAAAGAAACTATGAAAAGTTGCTACTTGACTAGGAGAACTAGAAACACAGTGTGCATACAAAACTATCAATTTTGTGTATATTCCCAACCAATCTGTACAACTGTCTGAACACAGAGTAAAAATTAAGTGAATTCTTTTTTATTTCTGTCTTTTGATTACTAGCAAAGTATCAGTAATTATATTAATTCGTGTGCTTCTGCAGAATGACTTCCTTCCCCTCGTTTCTTCATGTCTTCCCCAGATTAGCACTGCGTGCTCCTTTGACTAGGTTATATCAAGAAGTGGAGACTTTCAGATATAGGGCCATATCAGACACGTGGCTGACAGTAAATCGCATGGAACAGTATCGAACTGAGTACAGAGGAGCTCTGCTTTGGATGAAAGATGTGTCTCAAGAGCTGGATCCAGATCTTTATAAGCAGATGGAAAAGTTCAGGAAGGTATGACATTTCTTGTAGTTTCCTTGAAAAGAATGCCTGATGAAGCAATGAAGCATGATTTTGATTGTTCTGAGGAAGATATAACTCTGCAGAGTTAAAAATGCCACTAAACATAACTAATCTTTTTCCGTGTGACAGAACTCCAATTAATCTGATATGGAACACAGTATCCTTCAAAGAAGAGTAGGCTGTAAGGGAAGATATGGTAGTAAGAAATAGATTTTTTTAGTAGTCAATTTAACTTCATCTTAAATCTTTACATAAAATATATGTTTTAAAGAAGGCTATCTAATTTTAAATACTTAGCTGTGATATCTGAATGACTAATTGAAGAAGATATGTCTGCTTTCATCTGGGAAAAGAAAATAGACTTTTGTACCTAAAAAGGATGGAATAACAGAAATGCCATAGTATCCGCTGATAAATCTTTGGGTGCAGTTAAAAGCAGGATTTTTCAGAACGGAATGTTGTCAGATTTAAGGGAGGAATTCCATTTGCAGTTCAGCATAATTCCTGGGCAAGTACTAACCATTAAAACTGTTAAGAATGTACTCTCTATAAACTGTCTTCCTTCAGTGTCTCTCAAGTTGACTATACTCCTCCCCTGCCAATCACAAGTCCCAGAGGATAGTCTGCAGATTTGCTACCAAGTATGAGGATAGAATTTATTTGGGTTGATCCTGATCAGGAATGCTCAGGAAGCCCATGCATGTATTAGTGAAGGACTGGAACTTTTCTTAAGACAATCCTTGTTCATTAATGGCTTGAGCAGTCGTCTTTCTGTGACTGGAAATGTTTGGAGATGAAAGGTGCATAATTTGGAGTTTAAAAACTTGAGTGAGCCATCTTAATGGAAAAGAACTGGTATGCATCTAGACTATATCATTTCTTGTAAACTGAAGTGGTGACAATAGCAATTAAGAAAGGTGTGGAACAGATGAAATTCCAGCTAGCCATCTAATTTTTATTTAATATACTTCAGTGCAGGATATTCCTGTAAGTATTGTGGCACCAGGCAAGTATTTTATTATGCCTTGTGGGAAATGTTTATAATGGCAAGTTCTTACAGGTAAAATAATTGGTACGGTCTTGGCCTCAGCCAATTGCTTGTGTGTAATGTTTGATTTATTAGAAAAACACTTAAAAAATGGAATGTTAGAGTGAATAAAGCAGTGCTGGTAATGGTCATACGAAGTTGACTTATAGCTTTCTTGAAAAACAAATGTTATGGAAGGTATAAATTATGTAAATGGCAGAGTAATTAAAATAATTTATGCTTTTACTCATGAGCTGTGCATTTAAAAAGCTGCATGTGAAATTTCAGACCTCTTGTGTTGCTGTGCTTCAAGGTCAGCAAAAATTAAAGTCTTTTTAACTTAGTAGTATTTAGGAAAATTTTCCCACTTGTACCATGTTAAAAATATTGAAATGTTTGCAGGTCTAAAATGAGTTATATTTTAGTATAAACAAATCATTGATGTGTTTGATATAGATGCTAAAATTCTGTAGCATTGCCTTGATTACCTCAAAAAAACTTAAAGAATGTCTTTGAACCTTTCTTTCCTCTGGCTGTCAACAGAAAACCTTTCAGATCACATAGTATTGTAGAGAACAAAAACCTCTATGTTTTGCAGCCAGCAAAGTAAAGAATGCTCCTGGTATCAACTTTCCTACATGTTTTAACACTTGCTGAAGTTAAACTTTTTTCATTTTTGAAAAACATTACGGAAGCAAAATCCATAAGTATAATTTACCTAGGTAGCTGATGCTGAACAAGGCACAAGTTTGTTTTTAGTGCTTTGGGGTTGTAGTAGATAAATATAACAAATGGTAGGTACTGCAGTCTCAGATAATTATAGAAGTTATTTTTATTCTCTTTTTGTTATATTCTTGCTTGCAGATCTTGATTATACCATAGTGTGGCAGTGTAATGCAGAGCTTTTAAGCCTTATTTTGGGTCTCATAATTTAATTCATGCTTAACTTTGTGTTGAGAAAAATACCATAATTACAGATGTAAGATTTTTTTTTAATTCTCAAATATGCCATCGCCAGTGAGAAATGTTTGATCTGGAGTTTCTTATGCAGTGATACACTAGCAAGTAGTTAATGGAGCTGGTCTGAGAGAGCATTTGAAAAAAAAAAAATTCTTCAGACTTCTTGTTGTAAAAATGCTACGTGCTACTTCTGTAAGTGTCTTTTTAATTTTGAGTAAACAGTGCTGGTATAGAGATCTTTAATGTACCCAGTGCATCAGCATTATTTATATCACTTGATTATAGAACTTTTTCAGATGTGTAGGCCTTCATAGTATAATGTTAAATACATCGCTGTGTGTACAGAGGCAGTACTTGTTTCAGGAGACCAAGGCTAAATCAATCCAGATGGGCTTTTCATACCTCCCATCAGAGTAGCTAAGGCTAAAAGATCAATAGTTGAGTCATTATTTTCAGAGCTGATAAAATCTGACTTAAAACATTGGCATTTTTGTAGTTCTCTTTCAGAGCAGTGAGGTACTTGAGTTTTCTACTGCTATTTCCAAGACATTACTGTAAATACACTAGATCCAGCTATGCTGCCACTTTCAAAGAGTTCAGTGTTGTTTTTCCAGCAGTAACCCGCAGAACAATCTTTTTACATTGTTACATGGAGGTATCCTTGTGATTGTTACTACTTGAGTCAAACCAAGGAAACAGTAAGTGTTTACTTCTCCCCACAGTGTTCTATAAATGCTATGCACCTCCACTGGTTTTTTGAGAGGTTTGTTGGTCTTGTTGTTCTTCCTATAAACTAATTATAAACGACTGTTTACGTGGGTAAATAGTGATAGGACAAGACGGAATAGTTTTAAACAAAGGCAGGGGAGATTTAGGTTAGATATTACGAGGAAGGTTTTCACTCAGGCTGTGGTGACACACTGTAGTGGGTTGCCCAGAGGTAGTGGATGCCCCAGTCCCTGGAGGCATTCAAGACTGGGCTGGACGTGGCTCTGGGCAGCCTGGTCTAGTGGTTGGCAACCTTGCACATAGCAGGGGGTTGAAACTGGTGATCATTCTGGTCCTTTTCAACTCAGGCCATTCTATGACTCTATGATTTATGGATACTCATAGATATAGCGGTCTTTCATCCCTAGGTTGGAGATTCAAGTGTTGCCTGAGGGAATCTAACCAGTGCTTTGCTATGCAGTACTGTGATATTTAAAGTAACTTCATTGAGATAATATTCATTCACCACATTCACCACCACTGATTCGGTTTGTGAGTTTCTTAAGTCTTGGCTGTTCTGTCTGGTGACTGCACTCTGCAGTGTGAGCTCTGCTGTGATACTGTAAAATTACAGACCAAATAACCCAATGGTGGTCCTTGAATCTCCTTACTGTAGCTCTGAAAAAACAAAAAAGTTTTTCCATGCATTTTCTGCCTATAAGGTACACAGAAGAGTCTGTTTGGTTCAATTTTACTTAGCTAAGCTATCTCAGATGTTTTGATAAGAATGTTTATATCACACTGTATAAACTAGACATTGCAGTATCTCCTGTAACAGGTTAAAAAATAAAAACATTGAGAAAATTATCATACTTAACTTTAATTACATGAAAAATCCTTTAGATGGCAAGATATATATATATATATATATATATATATATAATGCTACATTAGTAGAACAAATTAATCCTTACTGTATATATGGGTTTTTGTTTCATCTTCCTTTTGCTCTTTGCTTCCCTTTGTTCTGAGGTTCAAGCCAGAGCTGAAGTGGCTCTGTAAATGCACAGAGCTTTGTAAGAACTGGGATACCTCAGGCAAGCTGTGCTGTAGCAGTGTACTGAGAACTGGGTATGTGGAGGCTGGGGTTCTGTCATGGTTCAGTATACTTGGAACTGTTTGCCCCAGAGGTGGAAACACAATCTGTAAACTGTTGATGGCTCAGTTTCTCCTTGTTGCATAGTCCCCTCAGCTTTGCAAAGATCTCTGCTTCTGAATGAACCAAACAGTGGGAAGGAGATGAGTTGAAACAAATAAGCAATGCATGGGGTGTTTTCTGCAGATCTTTGTGAATGCTGTGAGATTCATCCATTTGAAATACAGTGAAAACCCTATGGTACTGAGATAGCAGTGATATATCTCTGTTTGTAAAGCATTATGTATTAGATTGGAGTACTGTCTGGAAGAGGAGTAGTTTCTTGATCAGTATGTTTGTGGGAACCATGGGGGGACAAGTAGTACGGAGTATGCTGGGCCTCCTTGTTCAGGGAGATGAGATAGTTCAAGGTGCAGCACTGCAGGGTACAGTCTACTTTAGTGGTGCTGAAGAAGTGGAATAGATTCTACTGCGGAAGAAAAGTGTCAGTACATTCCCACTTTCCCTAGAGATCCTAAAAATTATAGGTCCCTTAATGTCTGGCTGTTACTTTGTAGTTGTGAGGAACTTGCAAGCTTGCAGCTGAACTGTTTGGGGGCAGTTCATCTCAAGTTCTTCCTAGTTGTAGGACTCTATATATACTTGAAACAAAATGTATGTCCTTAAATGGCATTTTAAACATAAGTCTGGCAAGAGAAAAGGCAAAGCAGTAAGAAAAAGGAAAACTCAAGACATAACAATCATTTAGACTGTTGTTTTTATAAATATACTCATGCAGGGAGTAGCTGATCAGTACAAATTCTCTGCTAGATGTCTTTTAGGAACGAAGTTAAAGCTTTTATGGATGCCTGGGGAAGAATGAGAATCTAAATAAATTCATTGATCAAAAGGTCAAAAGGGAAACATCAGTATGTATATATTATAAAAACCCTAGCAAGTCTGGATAAGATGCATCTGCTACAGCTGTTGACACCCCTACGTCTTTGTTCTTCCACTGCCTCCCTGCCTATGAGCTCAGCCTGGTATGAGTGCAGTTTGGCTTATGTGATGGTGACGGCCTGTCCCATGTTACAGCATCATCTCCAGCTCTCCATATTCCAACCCTTCATTAACACCAGCCCTGCAAGCCTGAAGGCACTG